CCAGAGAGAGACAGTCAGAGAGAGAGCAAGTGAGAAGGCAAGCCTCTAGGTTGGGACCCAGACTGCTGTCAGCCCTGTGGGAGCCTTAACTGTGAAGGTACCCGCTAGCCTCATATTTTTGTTTTATTTGGTGTTCTCTTTAGCCAGATGAGGAAATGTCTTTCAACCCCTAGTTTGTTTGCTGAGAGTTTTCTTTTCTTTTTTTTAAGAATTATTTTATTTAGTTTTATTTACTTATTTAAATTTGACCAGGGCGGGACAGAGAAAGAGAGAAAGTGAGAGCACGCTGCCAGGTCCGGGACTTGAACTGTGATCAGCCATGTGGGAGTCCAGCACCCTTAACCATCACACACTTGCTGACCTCACTGAGAGTTTTTTTAATTCTTTTTTAAATAAAAAAATCAGTGATAGATATTGCTAGATACTTTCTTTGATTCTATTGAAATGATTACAGGTTTTTCTTTTCTGTTTTTTAAAAATTGACTGAGGGCACACACACTTGCCAGAGAGATAGAGAAACACAGAGAGAGGATAGAGAGAGAAAGCACCCCAACTAGATGGGGTCCTGCCTCAATCCCTGCTCCTCCGCTTCTCCATCCCGTTGGTACCTTGGGCACACATGTACTTGTGCCTGGCATGTCCTTTTTAATGAAATTTATCTTTTTTCCCTCTGGGTACTTAATTTTTTTTCTATTGCTTTTTGTTTTAAAGTTTATTTCTTCTATGAAGAGAGAGAGAGCAAGCGAGCGAGCGAGCAGGGGCCCCCACAACAGGTCTTTATGCCATGATCTATGCCCACCTGCAGCCAACCAAGAATAGGGCACGACTGTGCATGTCTTTGCTGTGTACTGGCAGATCCTGGGGCCATCCCATGTGGCCTCAGCACTGCAGTGTTGCTGCCATGCCACTGTGGCTGGCGTATTGGTGGTTTTGAGGCATTTAATTATGGCAAGACCTTGGGGGGATTGTTTCATGATTATTGTGCTTGAGATCTGTTGAACTTCTTGGTAGAATATTTTGGTTTATAATTTTCATTAGATTTGGAAATTAAGTCACTTGAAAGCAGTTTGTTACTTTCAGATCATTTTTAATTTTTCCCTCCTAAACTCTTTGCCAGGGATGTGTGTGTGTGAGTGTGAGAGAGAGGGAAAAGAAAAAAAACAAAACAGAGAAACCCCTCTCCTGCCCTGGGGAGATAGTTGTACTGCAGTTCCTTCTCCATTTGTCCCTCCTTTCAGGAGTTAGGATATACATGCATATGTGCCTGGTGTGTTTTCCAGGCTGCCAGGTCTGGGACCCAGACTACACAGTTGGTTGTGTGGCCATTTTTATCTACTGTTATTAAATAACCAAAACACTTAACCACTATGCCATGGCTGGCCCAGGTATGGTCTTTTCTTTTTTAAATTATTTATTTAATTTTATGTATTACTATTATTATTATTATTATTTTTATTCTGAGCAGGGGGTGGAGGGAATGAGAAAGCAAGCCTCCAGGTCCAGGACTCAATCCATGGTTGACCATATGAGAGTCCATCGCCTTACTCATATAAAGTTGATAACCTAATGTATTTTAATGTGTTCAGAGAGTTGTGTAGCCACCACCATAATCACTGTGAGGACATTTTCATCACCCAAACAAGCATCTCTGTAACCACTAGTCGCCATTCCTGACCTCCCCTTCCCTCCTCCACTGTCCTCTCCATCTCAGCCCAATCGCTTGTCCACTTTCTATCTGTTTATGTTTTTCTGTTGTGGACATTACATTTTTTTCTCCTATTTAACTGTAATAATGTACTCATTGTCCAACTTATTTCCATCCCTTGGCCTCTGACTCAAGCCTTTGGTAGTTACTATTCTACTCTTCCTTCTCTGAGATCAGGATTTTGAAATTCTTCATGTGAGTAAGATCATGCTGTATTTGTCTTTCTGTGTTTGGCATATTTCACTTAAGATAAAGTGTTTAAAAGATTTGTTTTTAAAAATAATTATTTCATTTATTATCATTATCATTATTTGTTTAATTTGACCATAGAGAGAGATAGAGAGAGAGAGAGGGAAAGTGAGAAAGCAAGGCACCAGGTCTGGGACTCAAACCATGGTTGGCCATGTGGGAGTCTCCAGCACCTTCACCACCATGCCACCTGCTGGCCCCTAAAAGATTTTTTTAAAGAATTATTTTATTTCATTTATAAAAAAAAAAAAAGATATATATATATATATCTGCACTGTTGGAGTTTGAGTACCATCTTATTTTCACCCGCTCCCTTTATTCTTGAGTTATTCTTTTGATTTCTCGCTTTCTGTCTCTATGTCTCTCTCTGTCTGTCTGGCGAGCGCACATGCCCTATAGTGAAAACCTCTAAAAAGAAAAAAGAATTATTTTATTTCATTTATAAAAGATTTAAAAAAATAACTAGATTTTTTAAAAGAATTATTTTATTTCATTTATAAAAGATTTTTTAAAAGAATTATTTTATTTCATTTCTTTTCATTATCATTATTTGTTCAATTTGACCAGAGAGACAGAAAGAGAGTAAGGGAAAGTAGGAAAGCAAGCCTCCAGGTCTGGGACTCGAACCATGGTCAGCCATGTGAGAGTCTAACGCGTTAACCACCACGCCACCTTCTAGCCCCTGAAGTTTTTTTTTTTTATTATTCATTGAATTTTATTTGTTGTTGTTATTGTTTTTTAAAATTTGACCAGAGAGAGACAGAGAGAAAGTTTGAAATTGAGCTGCCAGATCTGAGACTTGAACTAAAGCTAGCCATGTGGGAGTCCAGCGCCCTAGTCACCACACCATCTGCCAGCTTCTGCCAAGATTGTTTTAATTTGAGTGGTGGTCAGAGTGATTATTCCCCTCCCACTGCTTACACAGGACCATTCTGAGTAAGCAGTCTAGAGCCCCATGAATACGAGTTGCAGTCTGGCTGCTACTGTTCTTAACCTGTGTGACGTTGTTTCCTTTAACAATCTTTCCCGGTTCTTCTCCCAGCCTTCAGTAGTTTCCTCTACTCTTGTGCTACTTTATTCTGCTGGACACCCTATGGGGGTCTTGTGTACACTCCCTCTTCTCTAGCCCTCTCACCTGTTAGTTCTGCTGTAACTTCAGCTGTTTCCTCAGATCGGGGAGTCCCCAGAATTATACTTGGGTTCTCTTTATGCTATGTCTCAGAGATATCGAAGGGAGTGAGATGGGGCGGCCGTAGGGTCCATTTCGTTTGTTTCTTACTGGTCAGGGAATTACTGTCCTTCCGTGCTTCGTACCTAGTAAGCCGTTGGTTCATGTATTTGGAGAGGTCCTTTCAAGGCAAGAGAGTTAATCCAGTCCTTATTCCTTTGTCTTGGCTCGAAGTAAAAGTCCCATGATTAGAAGCTCAGTGCAGGCTAGATTATGATTTAGAAAATAATTTGAATTTTGCTCACAATATGCAGGTATGCTTTTGATTTTAGGGGAAGGTGGCCCAATATGATACAGAACGAGTCATGTGCCAGAAGTATGTTGAGCATCAGCTGTAAAGTAGGTGAATGGGTGTGTGTCAGCCCTCTTCCCCAGTGTGATTTCACGCTCTGCCTTTATTTTCCACAGTCGGCCACGGTCTGAAAATAGCGAGTACTGTACAGGACATTTTGTGAGAGAGGGAAAGGCTATAGTCACACAGTATTTATTATAGAATATCGTTACGATTGTCCTGCCCTGGTATGCAGTTACTGTTATCCATTCACTGTGCCTGATTTGTACATTAAACCTATCACAGCAACATGTACATAGGGAACACAGCGGGCACCGCAGGACCCGCCATGCTCCGGTTTCAGGAGTCCACTGGGGGGTCCTGGGACACGTCTGCTGTGCACAAGGGGGACTGCTGTAGTGCATTTAATCCTTTGCTACTGTATTTAAACCTGCAGGCATTTCTGTCCTTTTTCCAGATTTTCTGTAAACATATTTCAAGATTTTCATCTTGTGACTAAAGTAATAATTTTGTCTACCATTATTAAGGTACCCAAACCATTTCTAATTCTTTTTCTCATTTTACGTTATGAAAAAAGACACTAAGCTTAAGATTGCCATTTTATGAATCTAAAGTTTGTGTTGCCTATTTTATTTTTTTTTATAGTTTTGAAAGCATAACCTTTTTGCTGTTTTTCCTATTTGAAAATCAAGTGAGGGGAGGAAAAGAAAACTTTAAAACATGATTTCATCTTCCATAGATTAAAAGGAGTATACATTTTTGTTGTATATAAAAGACTCTTGTCACCTACAGAATGTGTTATAAACTATGATGTAAAGGTTTGAAACCTTGAAATAAATTTCAGGAAAACCCAAGCTTTTGAATTCTTTATAGAATGAATTTTTAAACCTCTTTCCATGGTGGCCTCTCATGGTACGTGTGATTTCCCTAGATAGTGGTGGATTAGCTAATACAGCATCAGTAAATACAAAGAAAAGTACCCCTTTTCTTTTCTCTTTTTTAAAGAGAGATTGTGCTATAGGGGTGCTTACAAAAGACAGAGACACAGAAAGTGAGAAGTGACCCCCTAGGGGGGATTGCCATACTTCAGTCCCTTCTCCTCCATTCTCCTCTTGGGATCTTGTGCATGCACGCACACGCACTTGTTGTGCCAGGTCCAGGACTTGAATTGTGGTTGATTACTTGCGAGTCCAGCGGCGTAACCATTATGCCATCTGCTGGTCTCGAGAAACACCCATTTTAATATGTCCTGCTTTTTTAGAACAGAAGAAATAGAAAAGTGTGAAGAATTTTGTTGCATTTATCCTTCTGAGATATGACTGATTTGCTTATTAAGTAATCTCTCTACATGAACTTTTTTAAAAAAAGTTATGATTATAAAATATAAAGTGCGTCAGTTTGGTAGATAGAAAACCTTAATTATGGCCACTTCATGTGTTACTAGAAACTTATAAATGTAGCAAAATGTACTTATCATGTGCACAGGAATTCCTTCTGTGAAAATTAAAAAAAGAAATTGCTTTTAGGTCTTTGTCTGAAGCTATGTCAGTGGAAAAAATTGCTGCAATCAAAGCCAAAATTATGGCTAAGAAAAGATCTACTATCAAGACTGATCTGGATGATGACATAACTGCTCTCAAACAGAGGAGTTTTGTGGATGCTGAAGTAGATGTGACCCGAGATATCGTCAGCAGAGAGAGAGTGTGGAGAACACGAACAACTATCTTACAGAGCACGGGAAAGGTAATTACAATATTCTGCTCATTTTTTTAGCATGCTTGTGTTTTAACTTGTAATTAATTTTAGAATTGGTTAAAATTTACTGTATGAGGAGGTTTCAACTTTTAGCTCTTCAAAAAATCAGTAGTAATGAATAGATTTCTGGGTCGCCATGTTTACTACTCAGAATTCTTTTTATAAAAGTTTTTACCATAGGATGAATGTTCTCACTAGAGAGAGATCGAGAGAGATGGTGAGAGGGAAAAATGAGAAATCACCCCTTGGGGGAATGGCTATGCCACAATCCCTTTTCCTCCATTCTCTTCCTGGGATTTTGAGCACGCGCGCACACACATGCATATACTCCTGGTGTAATAAAGCCTCCAGGTCTACGACTCAAAATGTAGTCCGCCATCTGGGAGTCCTGCGACTTAACCACTACACCAGCGCTGTCCCCAACCATTCCATTTTTAAAAAAATTACTTTATTTAACTTTATTTATTTAAATTTGACCAGAGAGAGAGAAAGTGAGAAAGCAGTTCATCAGGTCTGGGATTTGAACTGCGATCCGCCATGTGGGAGTCCTTTGCCCTTAACCACCACGCCACCTACTGTGCCCCCTTCCATTTTTAAGAATGGTTGTTGGCGGGGATCAGCAGTTGGCGTAATGGCTGTGTCACTGGACTCCCGTGTAGTCAACCCCAGTTTGATTTCCGGACCCCGTGGCTTAAACTTGTGCTGGGTACGTGTGTGTGCGTGCCCAAGATCCTGAGAGGAGACAGGAGGAAAAGGGATTGCAGCATGGCTATCCCTCCCTGCAGGGTGATTTCTCGCTTTCTGTCTCTTTGTCTCTGTCTTTATAGTTTTGAAAGCATAACCTTTTTGCTGTTTTTCCTATTTGAAAATCAAGTGAGGGGAGGAAAAGAAAACTTTAAAACATGATTTCATCTTCCATAGATTAAAAGGAGTATACATTTTTGTTGTATATAAAAGACTCTTGTCACCTACAGAATGTGTTATAAACTATGATGTAAAGGTTTGAAACCTTGAAATAAATTTCAGGAAAACCCAAGCTTTTGAATTCTTTATAGAATGAATTTTTAAACCTCTTTCCATGGTGGCCTCTCATGGTACGTGTGATTTCCCTAGATAGTGGTGGATTAGCTAATACAGCATCAGTAAATACAAAGAAAAGTACCCCTTTTCTTTTCTCTTTTTTAAAGAGAGATTGTGCTATAGGGGTGCTTACAAAAGACAGAGACACAGAAAGTGAGAAGTGACCCCCTAGGGGGGATTGCCATACTTCAGTCCCTTCTCCTCCATTCTCCTCTTGGGATCTTGTGCATGCACGCACACGCACTTGTTGTGCCAGGTCCAGGACTTGAATTGTGGTTGATTACTTGCGAGTCCAGCGGCGTAACCATTATGCCATCTGCTGGTCTCGAGAAACACCCATTTTAATATGTCCTGCTTTTTTAGAACAGAAGAAATAGAAAAGTGTGAAGAATTTTGTTGCATTTATCCTTCTGAGATATGACTGATTTGCTTATTAAGTAATCTCTCTACATGAACTTTTTTAAAAAAAGTTATGATTATAAAATATAAAGTGCGTCAGTTTGGTAGATAGAAAACCTTAATTATGGCCACTTCATGTGTTACTAGAAACTTATAAATGTAGCAAAATGTACTTATCATGTGCACAGGAATTCCTTCTGTGAAAATTAAAAAAAGAAATTGCTTTTAGGTCTTTGTCTGAAGCTATGTCAGTGGAAAAAATTGCTGCAATCAAAGCCAAAATTATGGCTAAGAAAAGATCTACTATCAAGACTGATCTGGATGATGACATAACTGCTCTCAAACAGAGGAGTTTTGTGGATGCTGAAGTAGATGTGACCCGAGATATCGTCAGCAGAGAGAGAGTGTGGAGAACACGAACAACTATCTTACAGAGCACGGGAAAGGTAATTACAATATTCTGCTCATTTTTTTAGCATGCTTGTGTTTTAACTTGTAATTAATTTTAGAATTGGTTAAAATTTACTGTATGAGGAGGTTTCAACTTTTAGCTCTTCAAAAAATCAGTAGTAATGAATAGATTTCTGGGTCGCCATGTTTACTACTCAGAATTCTTTTTATAAAAGTTTTTACCATAGGATGAATGTTCTCACTAGAGAGAGATCGAGAGAGATGGTGAGAGGGAAAAATGAGAAATCACCCCTTGGGGGAATGGCTATGCCACAATCCCTTTTCCTCCATTCTCTTCCTGGGATTTTGAGCACGCGCGCACACACATGCATATACTCCTGGTGTAATAAAGCCTCCAGGTCTACGACTCAAAATGTAGTCCGCCATCTGGGAGTCCTGCGACTTAACCACTACACCAGCGCTGTCCCCAACCATTCCATTTTTAAAAAAATTACTTTATTTAACTTTATTTATTTAAATTTGACCAGAGAGAGAGAAAGTGAGAAAGCAGTTCATCAGGTCTGGGATTTGAACTGCGATCCGCCATGTGGGAGTCCTTTGCCCTTAACCACCACGCCACCTACTGTGCCCCCTTCCATTTTTAAGAATGGTTGTTGGCGGGGATCAGCAGTTGGCGTAATGGCTGTGTCACTGGACTCCCGTGTAGTCAACCCCAGTTTGATTTCCGGACCCCGTGGCTTAAACTTGTGCTGGGTACGTGTGTGTGCGTGCCCAAGATCCTGAGAGGAGACAGGAGGAAAAGGGATTGCAGCATGGCTATCCCTCCCTGCAGGGTGATTTCTCGCTTTCTGTCTCTTTGTCTCTGTCTTTCTGGCGCGCGCACGCACCCTGTAGCAAAAACCTCTCCAAAAAAAAAAAAAAGGTTGTTGGTCACTAAAGAAAATCATGAAAAGTCTGACTTAAGGGGCCAGCAGGTGGTGTGGTGGCCACAAGTGATTTTTTGCTTAAGTCTAATGAACAGGGAGTCCTAATGGCAATGTCTCTGTTCATCAGTACTTTTTTCTTATTTTTTTTTCTTGTTTGACAGAGGGCATGTATACTTGTCAGAGAAAGATGAAAACAGAAAGGGAGAGGGAAAAGGCACTCCCTAATGGGGTGTGTGGTCACATTGACTTCCTCCTCCTCCATTTCTCCATCCCGAGGGGATTTTGAGCATGGATGTACCATGCCCTGTGAGTTTTTCAGGCCTCTTGGGCAGGACTTGAATCACATGGTTAGCCACGTGGGGCCCAGCTTCCCTAACCACCCGACCGTGGAGCCGTGGAGCTGATGCCGTCAGTACTTTCCTCTTACCTTTTTATTTATAGAGATTTGTTTTTGTTTTGCTCCAGGATTGTGAGATTTTCCTTCTTCCCTTCCTCTACCCCCTCCTTTCTTTTCCGTCTTGTTTTCTTCCCTCTTTCTCCTTTTCCTCTTCCTCTCCTTTCTCTCTCTCTCCTTCCTTCCTTTCCAGCATTACAAATAACGTGTTGAAAAAATCAGGCACCTCTGTGCCTTTGTGCATATGTAGCCAGAGGTCAATCCTTGGAAACAAATTGTTGGTCAAAGGAGATGTACAGTTTAAGTTCTGAAAGGTAAAATTTGAAAGGTACTAGATATTTTAAGAAGTTCGCAAAAGATGCGTTAATCCTATTTTATGTACATACTATCATCTCGCTTTCCTTCCTCCACCATGCAGTGTTTCTTTCTCTTCTGGTATTCATGATAGAGCATGTGAGTGTGCGTGAGAGAGGGGAGGGGAGAAAGGGAGGGAGGAGTGGAAAACAAGGGGTGACTGAGAAGATGGAGAGAAGGAAGGAGAGAGGGAGGGAGGGGGAGAGAGAAGGAGAGAGAGAGGGAGAAGAGGGAGAGAAGCACTTTCCACAGCGCTCAGTCATGGCCTGGTCCCCTTCCACCTGCCCTTTGACCTTCTAGCCCTCTAGGCATGTATGTGCCTGGAGCTTCTCAGTTCTCAGGCCCACTGGGCTGGGGGCTGGGCTGGGCGCCTGAACCCAGGGACTTGAACCTTAGTCGACACACAGCTCCCAGCCTTGTGGCTGGGGACCTCTGGACTGCGCCACAGAGGCTGGACCCCAGTTTTCTCTTGAATGGCTTCTCCACTGATGCCGTTATTAGTAGTGATGATCTGGTAAGAATATTTGCAGAAGTGAAACAGAGCTTTAACATTGTTCTAGGCGGACTGGTGTGATTGTATTAGGTCATCATGGGAAAAGTCATGGGTGTTTTTGCATAGAAAAACATGTCAATAGTGATTTTCTAGCATCAATAGAATTTGGGGATTTTAGTCTTAAAATTGCGGTGCCTTTTTTTTTTTTTCTTTTTTGGAGAGGTTTTTTTTTTTTTTGCTATAGGGCGTGTGCGCTCGCCAGACAGACAGAGAGAGACAGAGAGACAGAAAGCGAGAAATCACCCCCCAGGGAGGATGGCCACACCACAATCCCTTCTCCTCCGTTCTCCTCTCGGGATCTTGGGCACACACGCACACGCGCCCAGCATGAGTTTCAAGCCACCGGGTCCGGGATGCAAACCGCGGTCGACTACGTGGGAATCCAGCGACATAGCCATTACGCTAACTGCTGGTCCTTGCGGTACCATTTTAGTAGAAATAAGCTGCTTCGAGCGATCAGACGAAGAAACCAATTAACTTCTTTTTCTTTTGTACTTTGACTTATTTTGCAGAGTACTTGAGTTCGAAATTAAGAATCATTCTCCAGAGGTTAGAATAAATCTGAGGATCTGATGTCTTTTTTTTTTTTTTGGAGAGGTTTTTGCTATAGGGCGAGTGCGCTTGCCAGACAGACCGAGAGAGACTGAGAGATAGAAGTGAGAAATCACCCCCCAGGGGAGATGGGCACGCCGCAATCCCTTCTCCTCCATTCTCCTCTCGGGATCTTGGGCATGCACGCACACGTGCCCGGTGTGAGTTTTAAGCCACCGGGTCCGGGATGCGAACCGCGGTCGACTACCTGGGAGTCCAGCGACATAGCCATTACGCTAACTGCTGGTCCCTGATATCTGTTTTTGTTACGTAAAATGAT